GGCTCCTCCGCCGCCGCCCGCGCCTCTGCACGGAGCGGAGCGCCGGCAGCGCGGGGGGCCGGGGCCGGGGCCCTCGCGGCGGCTCGGCGCGGCTCGGTTCGGCCCGGTTCGGCCCGGCGCGGCTCGGCTCGGCCCGGCTCGGTTCGGCCCGGCTCGGTTCGGCCCGGCTCGTACCTGCTGCCCGCAGCCACTGCCCGCAGCCTCTGCGCCGGGGGGAGCGGCGCGCGGCACTTTTCATTCATGCTTTCACACTCCCGGCCCTCGCCGCCAACGCTGATTGGCCCGAGCCCGCCTGACGTCACCCGGCCCGTTCCCACCCCTCTGCAGCGCTCGCCGTTCATCAATGGGCTGGGGAGGGGCCGCGCGCACACGCGCGCCGCCGCCGCCCGGACCCCCGTCCGGACCCCCGCCCGGACCCCCGTCCTCGCCATCGACACCCGGACCCCCACCCGGACCTCTGTCTTCGCCATCGACCCCCGGTCCCGCCCCGCACCCCCGTCCTCGCCATCGACCCCCGGTCCCTGCCCGGACCCCCGTCCTCGCCATCGACCCCCGGTCCCCGCCCGGACCTCTGCCCTCGCCATCGACCCCCGGTTCCGCTGCCTCGCACCCCCGTCCTCGCCATCGACCCCCGGTCCCCGCCCGGACCTCTGTCCTCGCCATCGACCCCCGGTCCCTGCCCGGACCCCCGTCCTCGCCATCGACCCCCGGTCCCTGCCCGGACCCCCGTCCTCGCCATCGACCCCCGGTCCCCGCCCGGACCTCTGTCCTCGCCGTCGACCCCCGGACCCCAGGCTGTCACCCCGGTCTTCGCCATCGCCCCCCGGCTCCGCCGCCGCCGTCCGGCACCCCAAACTGTCACCCCCATCCTCACCACCGACCACCGGCTCCGCCGCCTCCCGGACCTCCGCCTGTCACCCCCGTCTCCTCCATCGCCCCCCGGACCCCCGTCTGTCACCCCCGTCCCCGCCATCGCCCCCCGGCTCCGCCGCCGCCCGGACCCCCGCCTGCCCCATGGCCGCCTCCGCCGCTCTGCTCTGTCCCGCCCAGTGCCACCGCCATCAGCACCTCCAGCATCACCCTCATCATCATCCTCATCATCATCATCACCCTCATCGCCTGGCCTTCACCAGGCCCCTCATTGCCGTGGCCATCGCCACCACCCCACGGCCAGCGGCCACCGCTCGTGGCCACCGGCCCTGGGCAGCACCAAGTGTGTCCCCCAGCAGCCGTGCCCACCGTGCCACCACCGATCTCTGTGCCCCCGGCTCAGCCTCCCTGGCTGCCCCTTCTCGGGGAAGGGGAGCATCAGCCAGCCCAGGGCCAGGGCCTGGCCGCGCTGTGCAGATCCCGGATGGAACCAAACCCTGGTTTACCTCGTTAGTTGTAACCCCACCATTAGTTACCTTTTGATTTTCCTGCTATAATACAGATCCCATTAAAAAATAAAAATAAAAACCGCCATGATTTTTCCTTGGAGAAGAACACAGAAATGGGGTGGTTTTTTTTTCATTTTCTCTTAAATGTTTCTTTACCTTGGAATTATTTTTTTCCCTAGTGAAAAGCCAGCAGCTTTTGGGTCTGTGAGTTTGGGCTGGGAAGTTACTCATGGCTTTTGTCTCTTTCTGGAGCTGGATTTTCCCGCTGCCACCACCAGTGCAGCAAGTCCAACCTGCCAGGGCCCCCTCTCCCAGCTGCACCCACTGGGAAAATAGGAACCCACTGGGAAAATAGGAACCCACTGATCTGGCCCCCATCAGGCCCGGAGTGGGGAAAGGGGGATGTGGAAACAGCCCCAAAATAGCCTCTGCTCCTCAGCACTGTCGCTGTTCTGCCGACAGCCCCTGCCCGTGGCTCCTGCCCGGTTCTCTGTGAGCCCCCCCTGCACAAAAGGGGTTTTGGGGGGTGCTGCGTTGCACCTTTCCCCTTTCCCTTCGTCCACTCCAGCCTTGGCTGGGGGGAAAACGCAGATTTTTGGAAGACTCTGTGGGTGCTCCTGGGAGAAGGGAGGGCACCCAAAGGTCCTCTCACCTGCACCCCCTTCCAAATTACAGCCTCCAACTCCTTTTAGGACGGGGGCCCGCCCCGACCCCTCCCGGGGCCGCTCGCAGCCGCGGTGGGCGCTGCCCGTGATTTCTCCCTCCGTGGGTCCCCATCACCCACCTGGGCCGCGGCTTCTCCTCCGTGGGCAGAGCGGGGCCGGGCCCGGAGCCGGAGCCGGGGCTCTCCTGCAAGAAAAGGCCCAGAGGGGTCGGTTAAAGAGGCGGCAGCCCCCGAGCTGCCCACGCGGCCCCCGTGGCCGTGGGGCAGCTCTGCGGGGTCCCGGCGGGGCCAGCTTTAACCATTCCCCACCGCCACTGAAATGGGATTTTAGGGACGCAACCTCACGCCTTGCCCCTCTTTTGATTCTCCTCTTTATTAAATTCACGCACATTTTTAAATTCTTAATTTCTATTTCAATCCCCTCCAGAAATTATAATTTTTATTTAAAAACTTGATAATAGAAGAAACGCGACGAATTTTGCGATTTATCCTGAAAAAAGGCTGCAAAGACAGGGATTTCGCTTTCAAATTTGGATTCACCCTGGGATTATCCCGATGACAGTGCATTTTTATTTCTAATTTTATTTAACATCGCGTTAGAAACAGCCCGATCTGGGAGGATTTAGGGAAGGGCACGAGCGATTTGCAGAAAATGCTCGAGTGTGTTTTGAGTGTCTTGACAAATAAAAACCTGCTCCGTGCTTCGTTGTCTTTCTGGAGGAAAAAAAATTATCCAAACCGCAAGGAAGCAGAAGGAGCCGCCGCCGCAATCGCGGGATCTCCCTTTGAACGGCAGATTTGAGGATTTCCAGCCTTAAAACTTCCACGCACACCAGTGCATATATAAAAACTTAATTTCCGGGAGCTAAAAACGGAGCCGTGCTGGGCACGACCTGACCCGGTGGGTACCATGTGATTTTTTTGCAGACGGGAATCCACGTATACGACCCGAAAAATAACCCA